TTTTCCCAGTCTTTTTTTTTTTTTTTTTTTTTTTTTTTTTTCAAATTTTGTTAAAAAAAAACTTACCATATATTTATATATACCTAAACAATTATTTTGATTAGCTGACTGGCAAGAATACTTGAACAGATCTTTTCTTTTCATTTATCTGTTTATTATTATTATGTTTATTTCAGTTTTTGTTTGTGATTATTTATTCAGTTGTCTTTGTTTATTTTGTTATTCGCATGCTGACAGATTTAGACCAGTTGTTTTTGCAGCTAGTTTCAGTAAAGGCTCTTTAGGTCTGCAAAGGAAGTTTTGAGTTGTGTACATATTACATTAACCTGTTTGAAAAGATCAAGGTAGTTCTGGGTAATACTGTTTAAACTGCATTGCACAGATCAAATAAGAAGCACCAGTGAACTTCTCAGTAGCAGCTTTATGTTTTCCTGAAGTCATTGCAAGTCCCAGAGAAGTTGAATAAGTTCAACGGGGCCTGAACCCGGCGATTGCTCACTTTAGATTGTTCTGACGCACAGAACGAGGAGACCAGCGCTTTTAGTAACTGACCTAGAACACGGTGATCGCTCATCAAAGCCTGTGTAATTCCACGCTGCACACAGACTTTCATGAGATCAGATGAATCTGTCAGATCACGCTCAATCTCTTTCTGTGCAGCTTCAGGAGATCAGCATCATAAATATAGCTTTTCTTTTAGTTTTATTAATAAAGAATGTATAAAAAATATAACCCCAAAGAACAAAACAATGACATCCTTTTAAAATGTAAAAATATGTACTTTCATGTTCCACAGAAGAAAGAAAGTCATATGGGTTTGGAACGACAGATGACAGAATTCATATTTACTTAATAAAAAATCATATTGACTTCAAAGAATTTTTATATAGTCCTACCATTTTCTTTGATTGCATTATGTGATATGAAATGGGTTTGCTTGACCAAAACACTAAGACAAACCTTTCATCAGATGACCACAAATTAAGGCCTTGATAAGGTCTTAAATCAGAGCAAAAAAGTCTTAAAATCATAAAGTTGTGGCATTCAATTTTGCATGCACTGAAAATAAACGTTTTTGTCAGTCTTTTTGGTTTGTTTTCCTAAACAAATATATAATATCCTTAAATCAAGATACTGTACTGTACTGTACATTTATGCTTAAAACAAGAACACACATCTGTCAAAACCTTATCTTCCCTTTGAATTAAGTAGATTTTTCTGAGCCCATTGGCTGATATCTGTGCTTGTTTTAATGATTTTGATCACTTTCTCAGAAACAAGACTTCTTATCTTAAGTCATTTTTCTTCTCCATTAAATGTATCTCAATTGAATAATCTTTAGGCATTTGTGCTGGAAAACAAGAACAAATACTGGAGATGAACAGCACATTTAGCAGGTACAGTGAAAGTTATGATTATTTATTTCCATATTCCAGTGGTTGGGAACACAGTATTCAATCCTTGAGCTATGGAGATCTGATGGAAGTTGTGTTTTTAATCTTTGAAGTGTTGCGAATTCAACTCGTTGTGTTCCCGAGACGTTTACATTCATAGACATCATACTGACATATTTTGTTCCTTTTTATTCCCTGTTTTATATTGTTCAGATTATTCTTAAATTTCCTTTACTTGGTCTTAAAAGCTCATTAAAAAGCCTTACGTTTACCTTCTTAAAGCCTGCAGAAACCCTGAGTATTGTCATTTTATGACCTTGTTTTAGTCATGAGTTGAAAATCCCCATTATTAAAACCCGTAGGAAATTCTCGAGGGAACCAGTGTTGAATTAGTTTTCAGGTTTTGACGTCAGGGCTACAGAACTCTATACATCAGGAAGAAAGACAGCTCTCTGGAACAGCCGGCTAAGCGCTTCAGGAAAAAAGTGTGTAAGATCTTATTAAGTCTGCAGCTCCGTGTCGCCTTTACTCAGGACTGAATTACCATCCTTTGCACAAACATCTGCGATCTTTCATCATCCTCCTTCAGACGTCACTGGGGAGCATGCACAGGTGCTGGAGGACATGCCGTATGTCTTTAATACGCTGGTCTAAAACACTAGAGAAACATACCAATCATGCAGGTCTGGTGTGCAAAATAAATGCTCAAGGAAATACAGATGCACAGTTTCTCTGTAGGAAGCTTCTGAAGCTAGTGTTCTTGAAAAAAGTGCAGTTGTTCACACAAGCTTGGCTGCAAACGTGCAATTAAAAATGAGCTAAAATTATGATGCAGTCCTGTCTTATTGAATCTCAGCAGGCTTTGGTGATCCACACATGATGGGAATCTTATCATAGCGCCTGAAATTACCCATCTACAGCCCTCAGCAGCCTGCTAGGATTTTCTCCATTAACCTTGACAGGATGAGGCAGACTTACATCTTAATGAAATGCATTGAAATATGAGGTTTGCAGAGGAGCGTGCATCATTGTCACAATGCATAAATGAGAAAAAATGAGCGCGGGAGCAATGCATTTGTGTAAAACACATTGTGAAGGAAGTTCAGTGACCACAAGCATTAAGTAGTGAGCTGTGGTAATGCAAACAGTCCAGCTGAACGTTCCCACGATCACGCCATGACCACTACTGATTTTACACCTAAAACACCCCTTGCTTCACACCAAAACTCATGTTCATCCTTTATGTCAAATGCTGTTATTGTTCCCTTTATGACTAATTTCCCTGTAGATGAACGTTTAAGAAATCATGGGAAACACAAACGTCATGTGTCATACCATCAGGCATCTATGACACATTCATCGTTCATCATTAAAGGGTATAGCACAAGTTTATGGTGCATTTATTAAAATAAGGTGCTATTACTTATACAGTGGTTTAAAGGAAAACTTCAGACCTCCAAAAGAAAGATTCTGTCATTATTTACTCTCATTTTGTTCCAAACCTGTTTATTTTTCTGTGTGACACGAATTAAGAATTTACCACCCAGTTCATACTGGAACATTAAAGGAGCTCATAAATTATTCCATACATTCCCTGGAAATATTCCAGTCTTCTGAAGTCATTATAGCTTAGTGTGCCAAAAAAGACTGTGAGACTGTTTACTGTGAACTCAATCAGTCGGTTTAAAAGAACAATTTGTGCACAACCTCTTAGTGACACAAGAAACTAAATAGAAAAAAAAATTGTGGTTTCCTGTTTTATCATTGTAGAAAAATACACACACACACACACACACATACATACAGTATGTTTATATATATATATATATATATATATATATTTATGTATATGTGTGTGTGTGTGTGTGTATTATACTTTATTTCTTTTTTTTATTCCTGGTTATTTGTTCTGATCCTTTTCATTTTCTTATTTTCTTATTTTTTTATTTTATTTTTAGTTTCTTTTTAGTTTTCAGAATATTTGTTTAGTTTTCTTTGTGTTTTGTGTTTTTTGGCCACATTTGATGTTTTGTGTTTTGTTTTGTTTTGGGGAAAAACAGATTTCTCATCTCTTCCTTGATGTTTCAACAAGGTTTTCAAAACGTCTGATTACTCCATAAATATCGTTAATGTCCTTTTAAAAGAGCTGTTCAAATACTCAAAAGGCCGCAATAACCTTAGTCACGAAGTCTATATATGCAAATCATCTCCCCTTACAAACGACAAGTGCTCCGACCACAAAACAGACACTAATATTCCTGCTTGTTATGTGTCCTGCACTGAATTTGGACACCCTGTAAGTCGCACCTGTTGCCGCAATGACAACCGCATAACAAATTGGTTCATTTTGTGAGTCAAGAGGACGTGATTTGTTTGTGAAAGGGACGTGTCTCCTGCATCTCATGAGACCGCTCCCACACGCTCCGTCTTTCACCCAGAGCGTCATCTCATCTTTCATATAATGAAGAGGGAAAAATACAATGTTGTTCTTCACATTGTGGCACACCAGATGTTATTTTTTCCCTTTAATTTCCACCCAGGGCAGAGAAAATTATAAACAGACTCACACGTGCACACACACACACACACACACACTGGTGGCGAGGATGAGCATCAGATTGCTCGTCACATCCACGTTCTCCATGGATTCCTGTGGTTTTGATCTGATTAGTGTGACTGGGCTTTATGTTTACTGTCAATCAAAACACTCAGCAAACTCAAGGTCACCGCGTCCTTCGGCGGATCCAGCAGCGGTGACAGAGCCATACGTTTCCGTTCAAATTAATTTCGCTCCACGGTGATGAAGTGATGACTTACAGAGCACTTCATTGATTCCCCCCCCCCCAAATTCTTCTCCATGGATCCCAGTGGTTTTGATCTGATTAGTGTGACTGGGCTTTATGTTTACTGTCAATCAAAACACTCAGCAAACTCAAGGTCACCGCGTCCTTCGGCGGATCCAGCAGCGGTGACAGAGCCATACGTTTCCGTTCATTCAAATTAAGCTCCACGGTGATGAAGTGATGACTTACAGAGCACTTCATTGATTCCCCCCCCCCCAAAATGCATTGCTGCAGTATTGTATTACTGTTTATATACAACTGTTTTAATTAATATTTTGAATTAACATTTATTTTCAGTTTTTCACTTTATTTAATTTTTTAGAATTTTTGTTTATTTTTAGTAATTTTCTGTGCTTTTTTTTTTTTTTTTTTTTTTTTTTTTTTTTTTTTTTTTTTTTTTTTTTTTTTTTTTTTTTTTTTTTTTTTTTTTTTTTTTTTTTTGTTATTTTAGTTTTTGTATTTATATATTTTTTATATTTTGTTCATTTTATATGTCGTTATTTTTTGTAATTTTGTATACTTTTGTTTTTAATTAGTTTTTTTTTTTAATATGTCTAAAATTTTAATTTCTGTTTTTGTATGTTTCGTTTACGTTTTTTAATTTTAAATAGTTTTTCATCTAATATTTATTTCATTTTTAATTTAAATATATAAAATATTTAATATTTATGTTTTATTTCAGCTGTAATGATCATATTAATAATAGCTTAAATTTGTTGTTTTAGTTTGTTTAATGATAACGGCATTGTGTTTGTTTCCGCAGTTGTTTCGAGGACGACGAGCCGCCCTGTATGGAGGAGATTGAATACTCATCCTGCAGCGACCCGTTTGGTGCCAACGAACTGGACACAGAGGTGAACGGTAACACTTCCAGCGAGGAAGAGGATGAAGAAGATGCAGATATCTGTAGGAACGGGAGACGGCGTAACGACAGGAAGTCCCACCTCGTTCCTCACTACTTGAAACAGAATGCCCTGGAGACTCTGACAATCAAGGGTGAACAGTGTAACGGCGTTGACATCAGTAATGGCTACTTATATTAGGCCTCTTTTGTTTGTCTTTTCTGTTATTTATATTTTATATTAGCTTATTTTAAGGGTGATACTGAAATATTTAGTATTTAGTCCATGAAACAAAACAAGACATGCACACCTGCAGAACATTTACTAGTCCCACCTGCGCTCCCTGATATAAACTATATAAATATGTATTTAATGCATAAAAATGCACTTGAGTATATGATTGTTGCATAATCCTAATAGCGTCATGAGCTCATGCTTTGGTCTATGCGGTGAGGCATTGTGGGTTTGTTTACGAATCGCTCTTACTGTAAACTAGAGGCTGATAGATTCCTGACAGAAGTACTCTGCTATATAACTGGTCTACCAATGAAACTCGTAAGTAAACACTTGATATTGTAAGATAGCACTGCATATAGAGTTTACCTTTAATAATATATTTATTATCTTACATTGTGAAAATCAGTAATCATGTATGTTTTTATGGTTATTACACACACAAAGTGATACACACATATGAGTATATATTTGAAAAGTTAATTTGCAAAGACTGATAATTTTCAAAAATCATGTTTTTTCATTGTGCATTCCAACTAATCTCAATCAAACTGCAGTTGGGTTATTTCGATTAGGTAAAAAAATAACTAAAAATACAGCTAACTAACACAATAAAACAATAAAAACATGATAACAATAAAAAACATAATTTTTGAAAATGTAAAAAAACTGAGTTATCTGTATTGCAAATAAACAATTCATATATATATATATATATATATACATACACACATACATACAGTGATTTGCGAAAGTATTCATACCCCTTCATTTTTTCATGTTTTTGTTATGTTGCAGCCTTATGTTAAACTGCTTTAAATTACTTCTTTTTTTCCCCACATCAATCTACACTCCGTACACCATAATTACAAAGCAAAAACAGAACTGTCACAAATTTGTAAATTTATTAAGGATAAAAAACTGAAATAAGTACATTGCATAAGTATTCATTAACTCATTACATAGCTGAAGCACCTTAACAGCCTCAAGTCTTTTTGGGTATGATGCGACAAGCTTTGCACATCAGCATCTGGCAATTATCTGCCATTTTTCTCCTCGTCTCCTCACCTCTCAAGCTCTGTCAGGTTTAATGAGAGCAGATGCACATTTTCAGGTTTCTCCAGAAATATTTGATTGGGTTCAAGCCCAGGCTGTGGCTGGGCCACTCAAGGACATTCACAGAGTTGTCTATAAGCCACTCTTTCTGTGTTTATGTTCATTGTCCTGTTGGAAGGTGAACCTTCTGCCCAGTCTGAGGTTCTCAATGCTCTGGACTAGGTTTTCATTAAAACACTAGAAGACCCAAAATATAGAAAAAACCTGTGAAAAGATTATTTTCCAGGCTAAAAATATCAGTGCAAATTGATCCCAAATACACTTACAGATTTTAAAGAATTCACCCATTCACAGAATTCACACAATACTATCTGATAGCTTATTGTGCCCTTTACTTATCATGCTAATAGCACTTATACCCCCCACATTCCAGAACATTATCACCTGTCTCTCATGCAGCAAGCAGATATTTGGGCAAACAAGCAAAGGACCAGTTAAGTACATTTTATAAATGATAAGGTACAGATAGTTAAAAATATTGCTACACAAATACTTTCAAATTATTGAAGAAATAATTTGTTCTTCAACGTGAACTTATCAATTAATAATCATAAAATCTTGATTGAATCTCAAAATGGTAACAAAAAAGACATTTAAAACTTGTGAATGATCAAAAACAGTATGCTTTTATTAGTATTTTTTCACACGGAACAGATGAGAAGTACAATTCATCCATGTAATGTGCGGTGCATTGAGCTTTTCTTCTACTCTGACGAGTCCCTCAGTCCCTGCCACTGAAAAACAGCTCCACAGCATGAGGCTGCTACCAGCACACTTTACTTTTGACATGGTACTCTGCAGGTGATGAGCAGAGCTGGTTTCCTTCAGACATGATGCTTAGAATTGAGGTTTCATCAAACCAGAGAATCTTGTTTCTCAGAGTCCGAGGGTCCTTTAGGTGCTTTTTTTTTTTGCACATTCCAAGTGGGTTTTTTGTGTGTCTTCACTGAGGAGAGGATTGAGTCTGGCTTAACCGCCATAAAGCCCGGATTGGTGGAGTGTTGCAGTGATGTTTGTCCTTCTGTAGGTTAAAATATTGCTACACAAATACTTTCAAATTATTGAAGAAATAATTTGTTCTTCAACGTGAACTTATCAATTAATAATCATAAAATCTTGATTGAATCTCAAAATGGTAACAAAAAAGACATTTAAAACTTGTGAATGATCAAAAACAGTATGCTTTTATTAGTATTTTTTCACACGGAACAGATGAGAAGTACAATTCATCCATGTAATGTGCAAGGTGCATGGGCAAATTTTGCTACCCCTTTAACCCAACGTTGCAAAATTACAACAATGACATAACAAGCTCAAAATCTAAAATGATCAATGCATTCAACATTACCTTAATATCTACATGATCTACACATATTAATAATCACAGAAATATTTGAGGCATTTTATTTACTTGAATGTAGATTTATCCAGTCCAGGAAAACAAGATAATGTGCTTCAAGGGAAGTCCGCAGGTTGTGTGAGTTTTTGGCCAGGTAAATAGGACTATTTTTAAAATCTAGCATCCAATAGCATTGCAAGGCTGAAGAATAGGACCCATTAGTTGTGTAAATGTGGTCTTAGAGGGGGAAAAAAAACATGAGCAGCTTTATTTTAGTCAAGCTAAAACTGATGTTGTAATATTACAACAGTGGGCCTTACAGGGTTAAGGCTATCTCAATATTTTGGTGCATTGAGCTTTTCTTCTACTCTGACGAGTCCCTCAGTCCCTGCCACTGAAAAACAGCTCCACAGCATGAGGCTGCTACCAGCACACTTTACTTTTGACATGGTACTCTGCAGGTGATGAGCAGAGCTGGTTTCCTTCAGACATGATGCTTAGAATTGAGGTTTCATCAAACCAGAGAATCTTGTTTCTCAGAGTCCGAGGGTCCTTTAGGTGCTTTTTTTTTTTGCACATTCCAAGTGGGTTTTTTGTGTGTCTTCACTGAGGAGAGGATTGAGTCTGGCTACACCGCCATAAAGCCCAGATTGGTGGAGTGTTGCAGTGATGTTTGTCCTTCTGTAGGTTTCTCCCATCTGCATATATGATCATGGAGCTCAACTAGAGTGACCATCAGGTTCTTGGTCACCAGTCTAGACAAAGTCCTTCTCCATCAGTTGCTCAGTTTGGCCAGGAGGCCAGCTCTAGGAAGAGTTCTAGTTGTTTCAAACTTCTTCCATTATGGATAACAAAGGCTACATGATTCTGTGAACCTTCAATGAAGCAGAATGTTTTTCTGAAGTCTTCCCCAGATGTGTGACTTGATGCAAACCTGTTTCTGAGCTCTACAGGCAGTTCTTTTGACCTCAGGGTTTGGTTCTTGCTCTGAGATGCATTTTCAGCTGTTAGACCTTTTATTAAGATGTGTGTGCCGTTCCAAATCATACCCATTCAATTGCAGTTGCCACAGGTTAACTTCACTTGAAGTGTAGTAACATCTACTAATTTAAAGCAATTTAACAATGCAGCAACATAACAAAACATGAACAAAATGAAGGGGTATGAATACTTTCGCAAGGCACTGTATATATATATAAAGTCAAGGTTTTTATATATACACTACCATTTAAAAGTTTGGGAGCAGTAAGATTTTAGTGTGTTTGAAAGACACCTCATACATATGCTGTCACGGTGCGTGCGGGGAGATGAAGCGAGGACTCAAGTGCAGGAGAAATGGTTGTTTATTTTAATAATAAAAATGAAACAAAAATAAACTCAAACCACCCCGAAGGGGAAAAACAGACAGGCAGACCTAAAGCTGCACACATGCAGACACGAAACACACAATGAGAAATGACGGATCAGCACAGGATGACAGACACAAGGAGAATAAATGGGAACCAAACGAGGAGGCTAACGAGGGAGACACAGGCGGATCAACTTAAACTATAACGAGGTAACTAGATGACAGTCATCTGGTGGCCCTCCTGGGCACACCCGCTGCAGACTGCGACATATGCTTATCATTATGCTGCATTTATTTGATCAAAAATACAGTAATATTATGAAATATTATTACAATTTAAAATAACAGTTTTCAATTAAAAAAACTGTGATATCATTTATTCCCAATAGAAATCTTACCATTCAAAAGTTTGTGGTATGTTTTTACTTTTTTTTTTTTTTTTTTAAGTAATACTTTTATTCAGCAAGGATATGTTAAATTAATGAAAAAATAATAATAGAGACTTGTATTGTTACAAAACATTTCTATTTTGAATGAATGCTGTTGTTTTTAACTTTTTATTCATCAAAGAATCCTGGAAAAAAAGTCACAGTAATGAAATGAAATGGAATTAAAATGTAAAGATAAAATGTAATTAAATTAAGTAGCACAACTGTTTCCAACATTGATAATAAATCAGATGCTGAAAATTCAGCTTTGACACCATATGATTAAATTATATTTTAACTTTGATTAAAATTGTAAACCATGATGTAATTGTAATATTATTTCACACTATCACTGTTTTTACTGTGTTCTTGATCAAATGAATGTAGCCTTGGTATACACGTTGGTATATACATATGTATATACATAAAAGAAAAGAATAAAAGAGTTTACAAAAAACTCTGCACTGACAAACTGTGAACAGAACTCAGGCTGTTAGTCACTGTTGAGAAGGACAGTCATATTCAGAGCACTGAAACAGTATAAAGAGACAGACACCAAATTAAAAGTGAAATACTGTCAGATAAGTGTTGTTTGGCTTGGTCTTGGACATAGAAATTTGTTTTACAAAAGCCAATCTGAGCCTTTGAGCCAGATTTCATCCAAATTCTCCCCAGAATGTTTCGTATAATGAGTTCTATCATCTCTGCTCAGTTGGATCCACACAACCTTTGGTTTGGAGAGAAGCTACAGAGACTAACTCATGTCAGTCCATGTTCAAATTCAGGAGCCAACAGAAGCCTGCAATTAGATACCGACACTTTTAGCTTAAAGGGAATTCTGCCATTGTGGAATAAATGTGCGGTTTCATCTTCAGTGTGTCAGACAGAAGTTTGATAATCAGCAATATTATTGTATTTCCATAAGTGTTTGTATGTTTTATGAATGTAGCAATGCTATGAATATAATCATGGCTAAAGGGTGTTATTAAGTGTAACATGCAGCATTGGCCTGCAATCCATTCAGCAAAAACTGTTACTAATATATCAACCCTGAGCATCCTATAGCAGCAAGTAGTATCAATTAAATGTGTGTGTATACTCAATAGTTTATTTAGCTACAAAATATTAAGATATTATTAGATTAAGAAACTTTTTTTTTTCAGATGAAAGCCAATTCAAGTGATCTAAAGTGTATTATTATCATTATCATTGCTGTTATTATGTAATAATAAAACACACACACACACA